CTATTAAAATGCATTTAGAATGATCATGAATTCAAGACCTGATGGCAGAAAATTTATATATTTATACCACTTCATATAGTTATTCAATTTCACACGAAGAGTGCCGTTTTTCTCCCAAAATGACCATGATTACAAATGTGACATTGATTTCAATAAACAATAAGTTAATTAAGAGACTTACGTTTTAGACACCATATTGCTTGGTTTTGCTCTATTTCGCCAACAAAAATCATTCCGAATACAGCCACAGCGCTGTTTTGTGTCTCTGAGCAACATGACGGTGTTTCGTTTTTTGAATGAATCAACTGTTTAAATGATTCGGTTCAATCGCAATGACTCACTTATTAACAGTGATTTGCTGCCACCTGCTGGCGGTTTTAATTTCAAATTTCGGCTTTTACTTTTCTTTTCTTTTTTTCTTTTTTAAAATTTTTTTCATGTTTTAAATCATTTAAAATATCAGTATTCAAACTTTTATGTTTAATATATCAAAACATTATTTATGCATTTGTAATTGCAGGTTAAATGCATTCATGTCTTGCATTAAACAAAATACATGTGTGTAAATACATCTAAATGCCACTTCAGATGCAGCTTCTGTGTTGATTTAATTTGCTTGGTAACAGCCCAAATGTCTTATTATTCTAATTCCCTGATTAAATGTAAGAATTTGACTCAAAAGATAATGGACACTTTTAGAAAAAATGGCTTTATAAAGGTAAAATGCCCATAAAATGCAAAAATCAGTTTAAACTTATTGGAAAAGATTCATTTCTATCAGTATGAACTGACCACCACACAGAATATGAAGAATATTAAAAACATTAGGAGTCAGCTGTCTTCGGCAGTCCTTAAGGTACCAGCACAATAACACACTCGGCAAAATATTGTCTAATTATCGTTATTGATAAAATCCCATAAAATATAGAGATATCATTTTTTGTCAATATCGCGCACCCCTAGCTACAACGTACTCATAATTTAAAGTAGTTAAACTACAGTCAAGTTATAGCTGTGTTACAAGCTACTACACTAGTTGGTGGAAGAAGTAGCTTGTTATGCTGTTTTGAAAAACTTGAGCTAAATGCTGAAGAAAAATGTAGTTAAGTTAGCGTCGCTACTTTTGCTTAGTTACTTCCCAGCATTGCAGTACCAATAAAAAGTGGCAGGCAAAAAGAAATCTCAACACTAGGCAATGTAAATATGTAGCTGTAGTTTTCTGTGTGTGTGTTTCTTAACACCTGCTCAGCCACTGATTAATTACTCAGCCCTTGAGCAGTAACAGCCTCCTACACACTGAATCTTTGCTCTTGCCAAGGCCACGCAGTCTGTCAGAGCCCCACGTCTTCAGCTTTATAGTGAGATCTCAGTAGGGTGCCTGGCTGTTGCCTAATGACTAGAATTGTAAGCTGAGGTGGATAAACAGTGTTGTTCCTCAAATGCAATTTGAAGAATCCGGAATAGCAGCAACTGTAAACTCTTATTTTCCTCTTGTGCTGGAGGGCTTTGTTGAAACACTAGCTCCAAAGGGATGTTCACTACAAGTCAATACAAGCGTACTGTGCTTTTGAACACAACGCACGTGTGATAACTTGTGCTTTTTGTGTACTTGGTGATTTTTCGAAGTAAAAGTTCACTGGAAAATGAATATAATGGTAAAATAATAGTAAAATAAAATAGGGCTGTCGCGATTCGTCGACTTTATTCGACTATTTGATTTTTAAAAATCCTCAACTTAGGATGTTCACTACAAGTCAATACAAGCGTACTGTGCTTTTGAACACAACGCACGTGTGATAACTTGTGCTTTTTGTGTACTTGGTGATTTTTCGAAGTAAAAGTTCACTGGAAAATGAATATAATGGTAAAATAATAGTAAAATAAAATAGGGCTGTCGCGATTCGTCGACTTTATTCGACTATTTGATTTTTAAAAATCCTCAACTTAATTTTGCTCGTGTCGACTAACCGGCAAAATACCGGAAGTGGCGCATTTCACAGACGAGAATGTATAAAACAATAATTAAGCATAATTGTGAATTCACAAACGCTACGATTTAATTAAATAATTATGCGATGCAGTTCTAATACAGTATATGCGCTTTAATTATTTACATGCGTGTAGATTAAGTACGTGCGTCACGCAGCGGCTCCCTTCACAGTAGTTCCACAGGAACTGTTATCATTTACATGTGTGGAGCATCTCAAACTCCATCTCTGCATGTTGTTGTGAGTTTGGGTTTATTATAACGTTAATCTGGGAACGCAACATGCGCCATTTCATCAGATTTGTAAGGTAAATCATTTATAAATTCACGCAAACACAGGAGAATACATCGCGGTTTCAAAATAAAAGCTCAAACCCTCACTTTATTAATATAATTTTATTATTAGTAGACTAGAACACGTGGATATGTTGTTATTCTTACACTATAATACTGAACTTTGATTTCAGTGATTTGGACTGAGATGGACACTTGCTTCTTGCATTTGTTGCACTTTTTTACTTTTGGATTTCATTTGGTTTAA